TACAAGCTTAATTTCCCAATTACTACTCAATCAAGATAATTCGTCTCGACAATGCTAGTGAATTTAGATCACAAGCATTTGATGATTATTACATGTCAATTGGGATTGATATTGAATATTTAATTGCACATATCCATACACAAAATGGTTTAGCGGAATCATTTATTAAATGTCTACAACTTATTGCTAGATCATTACTTATGAAAACAAAACTCACAACTTTTAATTGGGGTCATGCCATGTTACATCATTGGTTTGTATAAGACTAACCGCCTATTATCAATATTCACCTTTACAATTTACATTTGATCATGAACCTATTATTTGATATGTCAACCTACATATTTTTTATTGTGCTGTCCAAGCCCTATTTCACTCCCACAACGTACTGGTCCCCAAAGATTTATGTAGTTTTTGATTCACCATCTATTATTAGGTATCATGAACATTTAATGGGTGACTTATTTATTGAACGTTTTACAGATTATTATTTTGATGAAATGAATTTTTCAACTTTGGGATGAAAAAACTACATCATGCAAAATAAGGAAAATTTTTATTGGAATGAAATGACTCTATCTCACTTTGATCCCCACAACAATCAATTATCTAATGTATTTGTTGACACAAGAAAGGTGATAAAGTCATATATACCAGCAGAAAATATTTTAGCAAAAATTGATGTCCGTGAAAGACAATCAGTTATAGCAAATAAATCTCATATACACCAGAAGCATTGTCGACCAGTTGATTTAAAAGACTCTATACTTCGAAAAAGAAATGTATAGTAGAAAATTCAACAAAAAACTTTAGAAGAAATAATATTAGAAGAGATTGATCAACCAAATATTGAAATATGACTTCTAAAGAACCACAATCCGAAAATAATGAGATTTTAATAAATTATATGTTATATCATAAATCATTGGAATGAAAAAATGTTGTTATAGATAATATTTTCTCCTTTAGCGTGATTTTTGATATTATGCAAAATGAGAATCTTGAACTACAGTCAGTTAAAGATTGTCAACATAGAAATGATTGGCCAAAATGAAAAAAAGCCATACAGGAAGAATTAAATTCCTTAGAGCAATGGAAAGTGTTTGACATGTAGTTTGAACATCTGAAAATTTAATCCATGTTAGATACAAATGGATTTTTATACAAAGAAATGAAAATAAGAAATTACAAGATACAAAGCCGACTCATTGCTCAAGGTTTCTCACAAAAATTAGGAGTTGATTATGAGGAAATATATTCTCCAGTAATTAACATAATTACTTTTAGATTCTTAATTAGTTTGAATGTGTTACAAAGGCTATACACCTTATGGATGTAATAACTGCTTATTTATATGGTTCACTTGATAGTGACAAATATATGAAAGTCCCTGAAGGATTTAAAGTACCAGGTGCGAATGATACATACCCTAAAACCATTTTCTTAATTACATTACAAAGATCATTAGATGGATTGAAATAATTCGGACGCATGTGCTGTAATCGCTTTAGCGAATATTTGTTGAAGGAGGTTATAAAAATGACAATGTATGCCCATGTGTGTCCATAAGGAAAACAAATATTTGAATTTATAATTACGACAGTTTATACTGATAATTTAAATTTAATTGGAACTCCTACGAGCTCAACAAAATAGCAAATTGTTTGAAAAATGAATTTGAGATGAAAGATTCGGAAAAATCAAATTTCATCTCAGGTTGCAGAAAAACATTTCTTAGAAGAATTATTTGTTTATCAATCTACAAATACAGATAAAGTTTTAAAACGTTTTTATATGGATAATGTACATCTATTGGCATCACCTATGGTTGTTCGATCATTTGATGTGACAAAATCCATTTCGTTCACTTGAAGATAGAGAAAAAGTTCTTGATCCTGAACTACCCTATCTTAGTTCAATTGGAGCATTACTTATCTTAAAAACTGCACTGGACCCGACATAGCTTTTTATGTAAATCTCCTTGCAAGATACAATTCTACACTAACTCAAATACATTGTTTACCTAAAGTGTACTATTGATTTAGAATTGTTTTATTCTCAAAAGTCGAGATCTGCAGATGCAGATTATCTCTCTGACTCACATAAAGCTAAATCACAAATATAATATATGTTTACACGTGGAGCAACAACTATATCATGGAGATCTGTGAAGCAATCATTGACAGCAACATGCTCAAATCATTCTGAAATTATTGCAATCTATGAAGCAGGCCGAGAATGTGTATGGTTGAGGAATATAACCCATCATATCCAAATACATGCAGGTTAACTTCAACAAAGATAGTTCAATAATTTTGTATGAAGATAATGCAACTTGTATTGCACAACTCAAATTAGGTTATATCAAAGGTGATAGTATGAAGAATATTTTTTCAAGATTCTTTTTCACTCACATGAATTTCAAAATAATGGCAATATTGATGTCCAACAAATTTGCTCAAGTGACAATGTGGCCAATTTATTCACAAAAATACTGTTGATATCTACATTCAAAAAAATGGTTCTTGAAATTGAAATGCGTCGACTCAAAGATTTTCAGTGATTAATATTAGAGGAAGTTTCTGTACTCTTTTTCTTAATGTTTTGAAAATCAGACCGGACCGGCCAGTTCAACCAAAAAAATCGGGAACCAACCTCAAATCCGATCTGGTCTTCATATGTTAACCGGATGATAGCAAATCGGCCAAAAAATCGTAAACCGTCCGGTTCAACCGCGAATCGAAAAATTGGTCACGATTTTTTCGAGTAATTACATTTTATTTTTCCAAAAATATTTCAACTATCTTGATGGGCTCACCTATTTTTTTACACTAGAAGGCCCTAATCAATTCTTTATCCAAGCGATGCTCCTTTAGCTCCTTTTTAAAGGAAACTCCTCTTGGAATGTTTTAGTCAATTTCCAATGTGGGATACTAGCTTTTTAAAAGATACTCTTCTTCCAAACTTTTAGTGATTTTTCAATGTGGGATACTAGTCAATTGTCTATTCTAGGTATTTACTAGTTTACTTTATTATTTTCATTAAAAATCTTGGCCTTAACAAGATTATAATGACAAACAATATCGATTTAAATAAAGTAAATTATTTTGGACATATTAATTGTTAGTTTTTGATGTTATAAAACAAATTACTATAGTAAATCTAATCAATAAATATGGATTATATTCTTTTTGAATTGGTAAACTAAAATTAAAAATCTACTATAGTTATGATAAGGTATAATTTATTTGTGTATTTTTTTTATTTAATTTTTCATACGGTTCTACCCTTGACCTTCTTCATTTTCCGGGTCGATGCCCGGGCCGATTTTTAAAACATTGCTTTTTCTTCACTTAGATTTTATTCTACTAGATTTTCCTAGCAAAATTTTAATGAAGCAACATTTATTTTTAATACTCCAAAATAATTGTACTCTTTTTCGTTCATTTGATTATTTTGTCTCACTGGGTTTTATCAAACAAAGATTTTAACGAGACAGATATTTCATAATGTGTTATTCAAAGAGAAATGGTGTAAATGGTAAGTGTATTAGTAAATGACATTTGTATCCTTGCAGTCCTAGAAATTATTACTGTTGTATCTCTTATTCTTCCTTATAAATATAAGAATTTGATTCTTAATAGAATACACACAAATCTATTGATTTTTATTCTCTCTTTTCATAGGAACCACAATTATTTTACAAGTATGACTTAACGTAATTTAGAAGATAAGAAAAGTATACAAACCATATTAATAACCCTTTCTCAATGTTACCCATCTAATTTCTTTTGCTCGTTAGTCCACACCCATTCTCATTCTTCTGAAGGTAAATTCCATTCTTGGTAAGTGAGAATGATGGGGCTAAGATCTCTCTCTCTCTCTCTATCATGATAGATAGTTAAGGCGTAGTGATAGATAATAAATAGAACGGAAATTTTGTTAAGAAAACATAAAAGTAATCAAAGTCGTGTAAGAAAATACAAATAAGATAATGAAGAAAATAAAAAAGGGAAACGACATTTTTAAAAATTTTGAGAAAATAAATGGAATCGTAATTTCTCAGTTCATAAATACAAAAATATTTCATTTCTGTAGTTAAATGAGGAAAAACAATAACACTTCAATTAACTAAAAATAAATTTAAAAAATCCCACCGTTAACGTGATTGTCTTTTAAAAATATTTTGCAAAACCTTTCAGGAAATTTTTTACAAGATATTTCTTTAAAAAGGAAGAAAATTTTTCTTTCCAATTTTGGAACTGAAAATGTTTAGGTCTAAAAGATCATCAGAAGTGGCCCTATTTGAACCACCTTTTTATAAAATGAGAATGAAAAATATAGTCGTTATTAGAGCCCACACAAGAAATATAAAATCTGAATTTAAATGTTGATGTGGTGGATAACGATCATATATTTCATTTTATTGAAATAAAACGGTGGCCCAAACGGGGGCCTAAGCATTAATTTTACCAACTTTACTTGTTGAAAAGTTAGCCTGTGCAACTTATTTAATGAAAAAATTAATAAAATTATGTAAAAAAGGATGAAATGCAAATGAAACTTTCGGATTCTAACGCAACAACGATTTTAGATGGTATAAGCTTCTCGTAATTTTAAGTATCTTCAGCTCAAGAAGAAAACAGCCAAGAAGGGGCTCTTCCCTCAAATGACAAATATTACATTACTCAAATCTCCTAATCATTGTTCTCAAAAGCATAAAACTATTTTTGTAATTTAACTTTCAACTAGACAAGATCATTTAAAAACTTAAAACTAAAGTCAAATAAAATGCTTCTAAACAAATGAAAAAAATATAAAATATATTAATGAAAAAATATAAAAAATTAATAAAGCGCTGCTAGGCACTCATTGTCAAGGCATGGCATTTCGCCCGAGCCTCGTGCTTAGACGGACTTTTTAGAACACTGCTCCTAATGAACTGATATCGTTGTTCTTGCTTCAATTTTCATCAGTAATTAATGGACTACAAAAGTTACCTAAAATATATTATGGGAGTTGTCATCTTCTGAAGAGGATTCACCAGGAGCTCCAGATCTTTGATAGACGGCTGTGATGATTGGGTTACATGCGGCTTCCACCTCCTTACGCTTCTCTTCGTAGTCCTCTTTCTCTGCGTTTTGTTTGAAGTCTAACCACTCGAGGGCCTCCTTTGTAGTAGTATCGATCTTCTCCTTCTCGTCAGACTCGAGCTTGTCCTTGTCATTGATTTGGTTCTTCATGCTGCAAATGTATGTCTCGAGACTGTTACGAGCATCAATTCTTTCCTTCACCTTCTTGTCTTCCTCAGCGAACTCCTCTGCTTCACGAACCATTTTCTCGACGTCCTCTTGGCTATATCGATCGTTCTCCTCTGTTATGGTAATCTTCTCTGATTTACCAGTGCCCTTGTCTTCTGCCTTGACGATCAAAGTACCGTAGCCATCAACTTCGAACGTCACCTCAATTTGAGGGGTTCCCCTGTTAAAGTAGTACACAGGATTCACTTCCGATGACAAAATTTTGACAGCAAGTAATTTAATAAAGAATTCATAAGAAGAATGCAAGCAACCTCGGTGCAGGAGGTATGCCGGTGAGATCAAACTTTCCAAGCAGCCTGCAGTCTTTTGTAAGACTCCTTTCTCCTTCAAAAACCTGTTATCAAATTGTCGGATCCTCTCCTCTCAGCTAACGTTCAAACATGCCATTTTTGCAGGACATAATCATCCACTTATCTAACAGGACAAACATGGTAAGAATTACTTGAAAACATTACCTGAATAGAGACAGTAGTTTGCTGATCTTGGCAAGTGGTGAAAACTTGGGACTTCTTGGTTGGGATATCATTGTTCCTCAGAATCAACTTAGTCATAACTCCACCCACATTTTCGATACCAATGGCGAGTGGTGCCAGATAGACAAGAAAGTCTGTACATCAGTCATCCATTCAAAAAAAGCTGTCTATAACATCAATAAATCAAGACTGAAGCAAGCACACACGCACGCACAGCAATCGGTCGACAAGATAACAAATGATGCAATAAATACCTGTTGTTACTTCTTCACCCTCTCCACTTAGAATACTTCCTTGGATTGCAGCACCATAAGCAACAACCTCATCTGGGTTCACACCCCTGTTGGGCTCCTTCCCATCGAAATAATCCTTGAGGAGCTGCTGAACTTTAGGGATCCTGGTGCTTCCACCAACAAGGACAATTTCATCAATCTGGTTTTTCTCCAAACCGGCATCTTCGATGGCTTTCTTCACAGGTCCCATGGACTTTCTGAAGAGGTCGTTGTTCAACTTCTCAAATCTGGAACGGGTCAATGGTTCAGAGAAATCGATACCATCAAAAAATGATTCAATTTCAACATGGACATGGTGCTGGCTGCTCAGGGCTCTTTTAGCACGTTCACATTCTCTCCTTAGCTTCCCAAGAGCTCTGTTATCATTGCTGATGTCCTTTCCGTGCTTTTTCTTGATCAGCTTGATAAAGTATTCCATAATTCTGTGATCAAAATCCTCTCCTGCACAAAAATGAAACTTCCATATATTGTAACACAATAACTCCCAAAATGTTAACTCTAACCCTTCCTCTTTGCAGTGCAGAGTGGAGAATTAGAATTTACAGAAGAGGAAAGCTGGACTTACAGAAGACCTCTTCCCAGAGGTCTTACCGACCCTCACATGAGGTGGGTCCCGATGTGGACCCATCTGATGCAAAATTGATTCAAAAATTTTCCCGCCCTCCCCTTGTGTCTGATCTGTAGAGCTTCTGTGAAGCTCCATTCTGTAAGTGTAGCTCGGTTCATTTACAGAACTACTATTTTAAATGCAGCAATCAAACTCAACCTATTATCATGAGAGGTATCTGAATAATATATTTCAGATTGCTCAATGGATCATAATCCAGTTGATCTCTCAGCTCTATCATTGAACGACTGTGTTCAAGGGCCGTTCATTTGGATATATAATGTTTTGTACTTTAACCACTATAACTGCATGATTCAGTGCCACTAGCAGCCGGGATAGATCAGTTTCCAAATATTGATTGCCTAAATAAATGTATTTATTAGATGCATCAAAGTAGAGATGGTAACAGAAAGATCTGTACCTCCAAGATGGGTGTCTCCATTAGTGGCAAGCACCTCAAAGACACCATTGTTGATGGTCAAGATACTGACATCAAAGGTTCCACCACCAAGGTCAAAGACAAGGATGTTCTTCTCACCACCTTTCTTGTCCAAACCATAGGCAATTGCTGCTGCTGTTGGTTCATTGATAATCCTTGCCACGTTCAAGCCAGCAATTACACCAGCATCCTTGGTGGCCTGCCTCTGGGCATCATTGAAGTATGCTTCCAGTTATAACCATAAACAAATGGTTAGTATAACCAAATACACAAAATGCCATTAGTTAATGTTTCACTAAAAGTGAAACAATGTGAAGATAGTAAATTATAAAAGTTAAAGACAACTTACCAGGAACTGTTACAACAGCATCCTTAATTGTCTTCCCAAGGAATGCTTCTGCTGTTTCTTTCATCTTTCCTAAAATCATAGCACTGATTTCCTCAGGGCTGAAGATTTTAGTCTCGCCATCCATAATTTTGACTTGGATATAAGGCTTTCCATCCTTGTTCACGATTCTGTAAGGAACAAGCTTCATATCCTTCTGAACTTCCTTGTCCTCAAACCTGTCAAGAAGTAACTTAAAACTTCAATCAGTATTTATTAATCAAATGCAGAATAAATATACTTATATACATTGAGCAAAAAGAGCTTGCCTTCTTCCAATGAGTCTTTTAACATCAAAGATAATCCTCTCGGGGTTGACAGCTGCCTGGTTCTTTGCAGCCTCACCAATCAATCTTTCAGTGTCGGTGAATGCAACCCATGATGGGGTAATTCGGTGTCCTTGGTCATTAGCTATGATTTCGACATGTCCATTCTTATAAACACCAACACAGGAATGGGTTGTACCAAGGTCTATGCCAATAACTGTTCCCAATTTAACTGTTCCCGATTTAGTGGCTTCCTCTTTTGCAATAGAATTTGCTCGTAGACAGACTTTTTGACAAGACAAGGTTAGTCAACATTAGTACTCATTTAGCAAACTAATAATAATTGAAACACAGAAGCCAAAAGCAATAAAAAACCATGATAAAACCATGTCAGGAAGCAGGAGAGTTTCTGAAATAATAATTAGTTGTTGATTACTGTAGATATCAAATTCTCAGTCCAGTGTTCACTCATCCAGGTCATAGCTCATTCCATCTATTTAACTTTGTTCAGAGGTAAGCACTCATGTAATTGCAGCAACAGTTATTAGAATTGCATTGATTAATTGTGCCTTTCCACTTTCCAGCACAATGCCCGACAGGACCCATCCCGAATCACCCTAATGGACCAAAAACGTGACGTTTGCTGATAACGTGGGGATTAAAATCAAATTTTTAGTAGATTTTGATAAAATTTGATGAAATGTTTGATTGAAAAATTGTGGATCCAATCGATTATGTAGTTAAAATTAATTGTTGACTTTGACTTAAATAAAATTTAGATTTTAATCCCTACCAAAAAATGGCTATATTATTTATATCATTTCAGTTTCAGGAAAGGTACATTTAGGAAGTAGAAACCGTTACAAAAAACTTGCTGGATCATCAGTAGTTCTATGATATATAAAGAAGCAAAGAATATTTTCCAAGAAACACAATGTTTAACCATTTCAAAACGAGCGTTATCAATCTCAATGGTGGGACTTGTCCATTTCTTAACACAATTCAGAGGCAATCCAAGCAAAGAATTTTTGAAATGCATGACTAAAGAAAATTAGTTTCCAGTATGTTCACATTATCAAAAGACCTTGCTCCCTATCTGGCAACATATAATTGAGACCTTCAATTGGGAGAAACTGTTAGGTACCTGCGGTGGCTGACTGTAATTCTGGCTTCCGATGGCTGTAGCAGCTGCTTGGAGGAACTGCTCAACATCAGGAAAAGGTTATAAACTGATACATGTGATGTAATGATGCTGCAGACTGAATGTTATAAAGAAATTGAAAAAGTAAATGACAATTTAACAGAGAAATGATTTGTTATTCATTGAAATGAAATATTAGAGAAGGGACAGCTCCAAGGCATTTGAGAGGCCTGGACTATCCCCACTTTTGCTCAACAGAAAACGTGAATCTCCTTAACCCCCCAGCTCTCACAT